CGACTAAACAACAACAACAACAATTCCACTTTTGCATCATAGAACTGCAGGACAGGACAGCTACATCCCTTCATAGTTGTGCAACAGATCTCACACTTTCACAATATTTTCTGATCATTTTCTCATCATGTAGATAAACATGGGTGTAAAGCAGGGTTGAGCTACATGCAGTCCTTCGGATGTAGCAGAACAACTACCAGCATCTATCACTGTTGATCATGGTAGCTAAAGCTGATGGAAATCTAACATCTGTAATGCTGTAAACTGCCCATTCTCAAAGCACAACATTAAGCATTTATCTGTTACGGAATGAAACATCCACAAAGATTCGAGGAAATCATTAGCAACTCCTAAATCCATAGTGCAAATGCTAAAAACTAATCCTAAGCATTTAGTTAAAATTAAGTCATACTGGTACAATGGTATTTAAGAAATGCATAGCAGACTTTATAGCCTCTTCAGATGCATTACTGAGAAGACAATTAGGTATTTAAATCTTTATTTAAAGATGTCAACCTGAGGGTAATCCATAAGTCCCTAGCACTCCAAAACTCCTCAGAGTATGCAGAGCCAAAACGTTCAGTCTACTTTTTGAAGGAGAGGGGCTTTACATCTTCCAGAGATGCCATCAGCATATTGTAATAAATAATTGCAATGCATATATAATAGGAATTACCAAAAACTTTGACAAAATAGGAAAAAAGGTGCTGAAAATAGTCTACCTGACATTTGAGTGTTTTTGCATTGTTCAAAACTGTTTGATAATGCCATGCATTTGCTTCTTTTACACTCTGTAATTTTGCTGTAGGAAACAACAGTGTTTCTAGTGTTCTTACTGGATCTCCCCGATCAATAGCTTCATTAATATGACCCACTGCCAAAATTTCTAAAAAAAAAAAAAAAAGGTTATAGTCAATATGCTATAAGATTTTTAAAAAACGTAACTCTGGTCATACATCAATATTCCAAGCGATTTAAACTAAGAATTCCAAATTTATTATTCAGCTTTTGTTACATTTTTTAAATACATGAAAATATATTTTTATTTAAGAATGACTGGTTGAAAGGAGTATATTGAAATTAGTTGGTAAATTCAAGCATTTTTTGCTGGGCAGCAATATGGGAGCATAAATGAGTGAAATATAACTGGAGGAAGAACAATCTGAAACCCTTTTCTTTGGCCTAATTCTCCAAACATCTGCAGAACACCTGTAAATTATCTATTTGGACTCTTAGCAATAAAAGCTTGATTAACATCTGCATGGCTGACTTGGATACTAATATACTTACTTATATTATTATAATATACTTGGACCAAAGATGTTCAAGGCTTTTTGCACAGACTAGTTGTTACAAATACATAAAGATCTGTTGAAATCTATTGAAAGCATAGGAAATCTACCACTAATTCCACAGTCTGCCACTATAACTGAACTCTTTTCTTTCCAAATTGTTTTTTAAATAGAGTTTGGTGGTGGAGGTGAAGGTGGTCTTCCCCATATTCAGTAAACAAAAGAGAGGTTTTTTTTCAGCCAACACACTATAAAATGTTTAACGTGTAGTTCCTAGCTGAGCAATTGTCATTATGGTTTGTAATCTCACGATCCTGGAGGTTTTTTTGAAATGAATTGAGTATAGGTAGTCCCAAGTTTAAGAATAAGTTCCATTCCCAAGGTCTCTCCTTAAGTCGAATTTGTACTTAGCCAGAACATTATTATTGTGTAATACCGTATAAGTAGTATTGCGTAATTAGCTTGAACCATTGTGTACTTAACTCAAATCACTGTGTGTTTAACTTGAATTTTGCTACAATAGGCTCCCTTCTTAACTATGAGTTGTCTGTAAACAAGGTGTTCTTAAGCTGGGGACTACCTATATTGTAAATAAATTAATGCTATGTAACATATATTATACATGTTGATCAGTATTTCATTGTTGAAATGTATAAACAAAGAGTTAAATGGACCAGAATACTTACTATCATTTTCTTCTTGAATCTGTGTATTAACCATGTCAATACAGTTCTGGATATCATTCCAGCTTAAATATTGTTGTCCTTGAGACAAAGCTTCTAATTTAATAGACAGTAGGGTGTCACCATAACTGTAAGGAAACAATTAAAAACTTATATGCATTGTACTGTAACCCAATATCAGATTAGCTAAGAGATTACCATAGCTTAATGAACAGTTCCACACAGTAAAACACCATTAAGTAGAAATAACAGAATTTGTATAATTATCTATATAATAAACTTCCTTTAAAATATTAGTAGCCCTATCTCACAGAAATGCATCTGTAAGAGAAGTTTTTACCGTTGCAAGTTCTCTTCCTTCAAATTGTTAAAGCCAATGGATGGGTTGCTGAGGTGTGTTTTTGCTGCCTCTATGTTCTTGCTCTCCAAAGCCTGATTTAACAGCACCACAGCTGACAGCATTTCAACAGCAATAGACAGTTCATCATGAGCTAAGTATTTCTGTAGAAATATATTCTGATCAGCAAGGAAACAAAGCTTTCAATATGCAAAAAAAAAAAGGAGTTATTATGGTTTAACCCTGAAAAAGCCAACACAAATATTAAAATAATACATCTATTAAGCCAACTGCATTTTTACAAAATAATGTGTAAACTTTCAAATTCCATCCTAGAAATGCAAAAACTTACATACCATTTTGCAAACTTTTTAACTGGCCTAAAGTATTGCCTGAACATACATTTGATAATTATTTTCTCTTACAGTACAATATATAACTAGTTTTGCTTTTTCAAAATTAGGTTTCCTAAAAAATATAAGGAGGTCCAACCTTAAGTAGCTGAATACAAAATAATTATTAGTGTACATATTTCCCTGGATTACATGATATTTATTTTTTATTATTTTTATTATTGATTTTATTAACAATAAGGTAATGATTAAACAAATTCTTTTGCAGACATATTACTCTCTTTGTCTGGTTCTCTCCATACGATCCTTTTTTAACCCTCCTTATCATCCTTCTTTCTTTACCTTTCTTCTTCTTTTCTTTCTCCTCAACTCTAATTTTGACAGGAAAATTAGAGATCAGTCCCATTGTAAGAACAACCACTTTGAAAGCACACTACTGCCTCCCAGCTACAGCAGCTGAATTGTTCAAGCATAGAGCATCTGCTAAGATGACCCTCTGATAAATAAACTCAAGGAGCAAAATCTGAAGGAGACCTGATAAAATCTCTGCAACAAGAAACCTTTTTTATCTGTAAATATTGGCAACAAACTATTAATAGCAAAGAAAGGATTTCTTGGGGTGGGTGAGGTGGACAACCAGGGACTAAGCTATTAGGGATGCTAATCCTAACCTGAAGGAAGTTTTGATGTATTAAAACCAGTAGCAAAACTAGCCAGTCAGCTCGTCATATGTGAAAATTGACCAAATTTTGTGAGGTAAAGAGTGCAACAAGAACAGAACTATTTTTTTCTTATCTGTCTTCCACAACATTGAATACACATTTGTGTAAAAACACTGACAACCAAGAATTTATACAAGTCTTTGCAGAAAGTATATGCTTAAATGTCATAGAAGAAAGTATAGATATTTAGCACATCTAGTTTTTAATTAGTTGGCTTTGGGGACATATTCAACTGGCTTCCATCTTACCATAGCATTCTGTTGCTGAAGATTGAAGAGTTCAGTCTGATAGACAGAGGCAGCAGAAGGGTAAACATCAGGCAACTGGGCCTCAGGTTTCATTAATGCGGCAATTGTCATGTTTGAGTCACCGTTACGAATTGCAATGTTAATATTGTCAACTGCAATAAGTTCTAGTGTCAAAAAATAGAAATATCAGAAATCCCAGTTAACCTTGTTCTATGTAAGATTGTATATCTGATATTTCTAATTATACAGAAGAAAAATATTGTTAAGTCTCTTGTTTGAAGATAATTATGCCTCAGAAAAGTGTTGAAAGCTACTGAAAGAAAAAAAAATCTAAATATTCCAAGCAAAAGGTGCTCATAACCATGCAAGCCTATACTTTATATTTAATTGACAATTTAATTGACAGGTTTTGATGGAATAATTTAATTAAAATAATGTTATTTCCTTGACCTTTGGTTATCTTAAATTTAAAAAGGTCAAAGAAATAAGAAAAGGTATACAGTGCCCAACCCAACATTAATTTGTACACTGGGGCTGCATTCACTATAATGGACAGAAATTTCCAAATCAAAAAGCAGTCTTTAAAAGTCTGTGCTTGACATATTAAATTAGAAATCAGCAACTGCAACTAATTTTCTGATAGATCCACAGACCTGAGATAGATGCTGAAATAAATGGGAAATCATATCAGCCAGGAGTCCCTGCACATGTGCTTTGACTATTCCAAATATATAAGGACCTATTGGATAACCCACTACATGTAAAATAATTCCATGTTTAGAGTGAAGAACAACACTTAATAAAACTAACTTAATGGCTTCCTTTATATAGCTAATTAAGCATTTCAAATAATGGAGCAATACAGATACACTTATAAAAATTGCGTACATCTAAAGTAATTCTGATTGATAAGTCAGATGATGCATATATAACAAGCAAAAATTATTATATTCATGAATTCAAGTCAAATGTTATGTAGAATAAATTGCTATTAAGTTAAATCAAAGAAAGCATGAAATGAAAAGTGAGCTTAATCAATGTCTCAGAAGACAAGCTCTAATATCTCAAGAAGCAAAGAGGAGCAAATGACAGAAAGGCAACTGCAAATTTAGAACCCTCTTAAACACAGTGTTCAATGAAAAAGAACTTCAACAATAAATTATGCATATTTGCTTTTAAGTAATATATTATAGAAACATGCCATACTTTCAAAATTCTATTTGTTGCAACATTAACTCGATACATACAAAGTAAGTGAGATTGGTATATGTAAATTCCATCTGGAGCACTGTAAAGTGTACTTAACTCAGTAACTGAACTGGATTAAGAACACAATATGGTGGGGGGGAATAAACTACTGAACCAAATAATGACAGCAATATGACACCAAAGCAAAAATGACAAAAAGCACTATGGAACTAGCTTAGATAAAATATAACTAGACTCATATTTTATCATTATAACTGCTTAACCTTAAAATTTACCATGTGAAGTTATAAGTGAAAATTAACAAGTTACTCACTAAATTTATGAGAGTCTGATTCCTCATTGGCAACACTTACTTCATTCTGTATCTCATTTTTGTCCAGGATAATTGGAACCCCTGCTATCTAACAGATAACAGATTAGGGGGAAAACATTTCTTATTGTATTTTTTAATTAAAAGGCAAATAAGTAATCAATACTATAATAATCAGAACTATTGGGTGGATACCAGCTTTAGTATCAATAAGTACGCTGTTCTTATAAAAATATGTATTTTTAACTAACGTGTGCTTTCATAAAGCAAATGGTCAGAAATTTTCTTTGAACAGGCAATTTGAACATTTTTCAAATTAGGGTTAAATTTATTTTTTCTGTTTATATCCAATCTTAGAAATAGAGGTTTCCAAATTAAATTAAGAGTAAATTGTGTGATACTACAGGATATATATAAAGTATTTTGAAAGCCTCTCTCTACTGTTTGTAAGAGGGCCAAAGGATCAAGATTGAAGTCACACTTTAAAGTTAAGAGATTTAGGTGTCACTCTAGCACGTTATAATCAGTTACCTGTGTTCTCTGCTCTTTAGAATCAAATAACCGTGCTAGGTACCACGAGGAATTTTGCAGCAAAACTTCAAGCAGGCTCAGAGCAGGGTTTCTCAAACCTGCCATTAGTGCCACTTCATCTTGCATGTCAATAGCCTCATTCACTTGGGCTAAAGCTATGTGAACTGAAAGGAAAACAATGCTTATAGACAGCAAAATATTGTAAGGGTTTTTTTTTTTCTTTTAGCCCTTTGATACACACCGTTAAGAGAACTTGCATCAAATCCTTCTGGACAAGTATGCAAGGACACTTCAGAATTGACATGTAATTCTTAAATCCAAAGCTAAAATGCAACAAGTAAGAGGGGTCAAAATTTACAGAACTTTGCACCTAGCCGAAGAGGAGAGAAGTATAGGTAAAGCAGACTGGAATCATAATGTTTCTATTGTTATCAAGAATGCAAAAGGGCAAAGAAGAATGTGCTTGTCCAGGATTAGTAGTGTAAAAGCAAGACATCTCTGAAAGATTTACACATTACTGATGAAACAATAGCCTATGCCAGTTTTAAATTTCAAATGACTGTGGGAACATACTACATACTGATACTTCCCATTAAAATTAAGGGTGGGTATGCAAGTTTCAGGAATCCTTGTTTTCATAAGAAGGAAGAATACTCACTGTTGATCTTATTAACATTTCCCTGGATTTCAGCTTGTGTCAGCAATTCTTCATATACATCTCTTTCCTCCTCCAAAATTGAGTCACTCTAAAAGCAACAGCTACCATTATAGAAAGAAGGGCAGTGCTATTCCTCATTTCCAAATTGAGGTAGTGTTCGCATAAATGCACGCATATGGGGGGGGAACACCCACATACAAAAGCATGTCACACACAAAAGGTATAATTCCACTGAATTTTGAAAGAAACAATTAAATCTCGACCACAAGTCATAATATTCCTCAGTCTTTCCACTACATTGATAGAGTGCCAATTTATAAATGGAAAGTGAACTAGTATCTATAACTCAAATGGATAAATCTGGGGTAACTATCTTTCCTACACTGAATATTTTCTTTGCTACTCCCCCCCATGTAGAATAAATCTATAATTCTTTATATAGTGATTAGTGATAAATTCCAAAAATGTATTATATAATTTAAAGACACATACTAATATTTTAAATTTTCCATATTGAACCAAATTGGAATATAAATTGAACAGCCTATATTGCATGGATGTTTCTTAATCAACATTACACTTCCAGCATAACGGAACTGGTAAATGGGCCTCCTTTTTGAATCTTCTCTGAAGATTCCAAAAGACTTGAAAAATAAGCTTTTATTAATTAATCTCACCTTAATAGTTGTCAGCCCTTCAAGGCAGACTAGAAGAATAGACTCCATGGAGAACTAAAAACTGCTGTACTTTTATTTAGATTGGCTACAGTAACATAATCTTGCAAGTCTGACTGTGATCCCCTGCCTCCCTCTTTTATATGTAAGGAGGTGTCTATCTTTTTGTAATCCTTTCCCCTTGTTTGGACTCAAGCTATATTTCCCTAGAGAATAAAAAAGAAGGAACCAACCCAAAGTGGCTGATGGTACTCCTTCCAATCACCTTCTGAGGCCAGGCCAGTATTTTTCCCCTTCTCACCTCACGCCAGGAATGTATCTGTCAGCAGGTCTGCTACGTAATCTTGGGCAATGCTGATTTAAATTAAGATTAATTCATCTTTTTCATTTTGACTGGTTCTTTTATGTATTTTTGTGGAGTTTTTTTCCCTTCTCATTTATTGATGTATTAATATATAATGAGATTGATCTTTTTTGAGATTGGGTGGCATACAAATAAAACAAATAAATAAACTTGTTTTATATGCACAAATTACCAATAGCATTGTCAATTTGATACTATAAGTTTTACAAACTTGCATATTTAAGACAGCCATGAATAAATTGAAATCAGTGTTTTAATTATTCTGTGACAACTCACATTCACATCATACAGTTAATGATAAATGTTCTATTTCTGCACCTTAAGTCTTGCATTCTCTTCTTTTCTCTTTTTTGCTTCCGAAAGTTCCTTCTGATATGCATGGGCAAAATTATCATCCACATTAACTAACATGGCATTAGGATTTTTCAATGTTTTGATAGTTTGATCTGCAACTCCCTTCTCAATAGCTTCATTAATTGCAATAACTGCAGCATGCACTGAAAAAAGAATAGTCCAGAATATTTCAGTATTTAAAGATAGAAGCCTCCATGAATTAACATTTCCCAAACCTTTGTTATTAGCTATCATACTTTTACAATTTGATGTATACATAATTTCTGTTTAACAGTCTGGTTTCATACAAAACAGACAACAAGCAAAAAAGGGAGTGCACACAGATATATTCACAAAGATAAAAAAAATTCAGAACAGAACAGCCTCAATAAAAATACTTCACCAGAATATCCCAGGTGTGAGTATTTTAAACCCTTGTTCTTTTCCTGTTTCATCCTCAGGTCACAAATGTACATAGCTAAACCAACTGAAAGACTATCCCAAGAGATCATCAGAAAAACAATCAGATGAACGAGCTATTATTATTTTTTCCTTGGTGGTTACGTTGTTAAGGTTGACTACTTTGAATGTTATGATTTTACGGTTTACGATGCTTTTCTGATTTCTGATGTGCCACTCAGCACCTCATAATGTAGATAGCAAACATATGATAAAATATGTAAATCTTAAAATTTCCATAATAATCAAGTAGCCAGTTGCAAAAACAAATATTTCATGCCCTTGTTTTGGTTAAGTTACCTGGTAAATTTGACTGTCACTTCATATTTAAAGTTAAAGCAACTTTCAGGCACATGACTATCTTTTAGGGAGCAGGGTAGAGTAGCATCTCCCAACACTTAGGGGAACTTACATGCAGCTTCATCCATTGAAAGCTCACTGGTCAAGATGCCTCCAATTTTACTAAATGATGGCATCTGTATACCGTATTTTTCCAGTTCCTTCCGCATGTTACTGATTTCTTCCTCTAATTATTGGTGGCAGGAGGAAGGAAAAAGAAAGAGATTACAGTACATGGAGAAAAAAAAACTGTCCAGGGTTTACTAGAGTGACAAAACCAAGCTCAACACATAAACACACAGATGGGACAAATGTTATTCCTCTAATTCTTCTTGTCTCCTTTTTCTGTTTGAGAAATACTGCAGCACAGATGACTTGTTTGTTACTCAGCATTTCTTTGTAAAAAACAACACATTCTTTACATAGCTACTTTACACCCACTTCAGCACAAAAACATGAAGAATGTTGGAGGAGGAGAACATTGCTATCCAATTAAGGAATTACTAGAAGCTTCATAAATAAGGTTTCCTCAATACAAAAAAAGTTACAAAGATTAAAAGTACCTGTAAAGTCTACTTTCCCAAGCAAATCCTGGATTTGTGGAGCTATTCCTAATTTAAACAAATATAAACTGAGAAAGAAAAAGAAAAAGAAAGTGAATTGCATTAAATAAAATGGAGAATGATCAATTAAAGTTGAGTATTGCCTATTAATGTTTATTCTACAATGCATTTTTTTTACAATGCCGCAAGTGTTTATTTCCTAAAATAATAACTATTTTTTCAAAACACTTTTAACTTTGAATTGCTGAACTTCTGTATCTCCTTTCTTCATGACAATTCTAAATAACATACATGAAATATTGCCTCAACAGTGAACGTAATCTCTCTTATACATACATACAGGCCTGGCTATCTATGTTTCAGTTCTTCAATGCTTTGAAGAATCTGGAATAAACTCAAAATTACAGAAATCACTCCAAGAAGTCCTATTTCATTTCAGGGTACTTGAAAAAACTATATAATTACCATTCCAAAATGTGTATAGTGAAACCATCTGGACAACAGCTGAACAAATTCACATCTTTATTCATGTCTTTCTGCCATGTGAAGTTAACAACTGTTAAGGATTTGGGAAATTTATTAAGATTACACAAGGGACTAATCAAAATTGTTATAAAAGAGAGGGTCAAAGCAGTTCAAAAGTGGCCAAGGCACATTTTAGATTTAAAAGGAAGATTTTTTATTTGGAGAAGATTAACATTTTAAAAGTTGAACCTGAATGAAACAAAAAGGTGACAAAAATGAAGAGCCATATACCAGCTGTAAGCAAACATAATCACTCATGGATTTGCCTAGCTGTTAGAACTCAGGGAGCAAGCATGAAAACAGGTGTTTCTGGAAGCAGGAAATATTAGGAAAAATTAGATTTTCACTAATTTAAGATTTTCTAGGAGGAAGTTCAAAGAATAAACAGGAAAAATTAACTGTAAAATTAAATATTTAATAGATGATAACTTAGGTACAATACCTAAATTTGTCAGGTTCTGATTATCCTATTTTCTACTTGTGATCTCAATTTTTAAAAGCACCTTTGTATTACATTTATAATCGATTTCTAATAAATATCAATGAACAATTCCATCACTATTCTTTAGTCAATTTCTAGTGTTTAGAAATTGTTTTTAATTGGCATAATTGAGTTATTAAATTAATGTATTAAATTAATACATTCAATTTTGACATTTTTACAACTGCTATGATTTTCATGGGGTAGGATGATATTTAGTAGCTAGAGAGAAAAGGAATGTTGGGGAAGGAAGTATTGTTGGCCACTAGAGGGCAATGGAATTTTATTTTTAATTTATCAATCATTAAGCATTCCCCTTAATACACTTAGAAGTAATATTATCAAAATAAAAACATACATATGTAATATATTCCTTTCTCATTTTTATTATGAGCAAGTATTAATTAATTGCCATTTTACACACATGTAATTGTGTTGGAAATTTTAATAATCACAAACTATTATTAGCATGAACTATCTTTTAAAACAAATATTTTGAAGTTTTAGAAAGAATTCATATTAAACAAAGCTGCAAGTCAAGAACATGGCACAAAGATATATTTGAAAGTATTCAGATTTTGAAAAAATTTTACCATAAAAATGCATGCAGATTATCCAAGAATAAAGATTATTAAATTATTCATGCTTGAGTTTTACATTATTATTGTTGTTGTTAGGCACTGTGATGAACATCAGAACTATTGCATCTGATGTTCAAATCTCAATGTAAAGGTATTCCTTGAAGAGTAAGATTATGCTACATTTGCAAATGCCATACAATATTTCTCTAGTAGGCAAGGAAAACAGATTTGGAAGATTCAGTGCTTCTGTTCTCTCTCTCGCTCTCTCTCTCTCTCGCTCTCTCTCACACACACACACACACACACACCACTTTATGACACTACAGCAGAGAGGAGATGGGGGTATCTCTCACCAACACACAGACCAGTCCTCCAGACTCCTCTCTGGGTTCTCTACCCTCAACACCTCTGCCACCTGAGTTCTGAAGTGTGTGGATGTATCTTTCCCTCAGGTGAAGGAGTTCCACCTGGGCAGGTAGTTATTCTGTCACATGCTCTTGAATGGAGAGGTGACCACTTTGAATTTGGATGGTGCAGAATAGGAAATCCCCTTCCTCAGGAATAAGTTTTTCAATAAATGACTCCAGATTTCCCCTGTTTAATTAGGTCCAAGGGCTCTGGAGTGCTTGGTGCTAAATTACAAAGCACTGAAGTAATCAAAGAAAATTTTTTTTTATTTTAATAACAGCAATGAAGTACGATTATCTTCAGAATGGGTTGTTCTGAAGAACTCAGGGAACTTTCTCTTTCCCTTTGGATCATGCCATTCTGGGATGGGGGGAGAGTTTGTTCAGCATTTTTGAGAAGTAAATTGTCTGAAGCAATTCAAGGTGTTCTGGTTTAAAAAAGCTTGCTGCATCCGGAATGTTATGCTTCCAGTTTAGAGGACCAACTTCTAAAATTCCTGAACCAGTCAGAGGAAAATGGATTGTTCTTAAGTTCTCCAAATTCAATTAATTTTGCAAATCACAAAAACTAAGTAAAGAATTGCGAGAATAATTTCATCACCATCATCATTATCACCACCACCACCACAATAATTTATTAAATGTATATGCTGCCTGACCCCCAGTGACTCTGGGTGGTATACAATTGTTAAAAACATTTAAGAACAAAAAACAATACAAAAAACCCCCACAAAAAACAGTACAAGACAGAAAAACAACAAGGGCAAAGAAAACAAACTGAGAGGGGAACAAAAAGGAAGAAAGGGGCATCAGTTATTCTCGCCAAAGGCCTGGGGGAAGAGCCAGGTCTTTAGGGCTCTTCAAAATACCAGTAGGGTGGGAGCCATTCACATTTCAGGGGGAATCTCATTCCAGAGGGTAGGTACCTTCTCTACAGAGAAGGCACGCTTCTGGGATCCAGACAGATGGCATTGTTTAATCAGTGGAACCTGGAGTGCATCAACCCTGCTAGATTGAACTGGCTAGGCAGATACTATAGAAGAATGCACTCGGAAACAACTGGGAAATAGAGCAGTTCGCAAAGCAGAGGTGTTACATGGGCATCCCGAGGCATGTCATCACTGTCTGCACTGCTGCATTCTGGACCAGCTGAAGCTTTCAGGTGGTGTTTAAGGGCAGCCCCATGTAGAGCATGTTACAGTAATCAAGCTGTGAGGTGACCAGGGCATGAGTGATTGTCTGAAGGGCTCCCCGATCTAGGAAAGGGCACAACTGGTGCACCAGATGAAGTTGGGCAAAAGCAGTCTTGGCCACACTTGCCACCTGCTCACTGAGTAGGAGTTGTGAGTCCAGGAAGACTTCCAAATTGCACACCATCCTTGAATGGGGAAGTGTAACCCCATCCAAGGTCAAAGTTGGAATATCCCCAGATATGGGCGGTCCAACACCCACAGCCACTTGGTCTTGGTAAGACTGAGTCGGATGGGGGTGAGACTCCCCACCCACACAACTTCCAGGCACTGGGACACATTCTTGACAGCCTCACTTGGCTGGGACAGAGTTGAAAGATATAATTGGGTATCATTAGTGTACTGATGATACTAAACCCCAAACCAGTGAATGACCTCATTCAGCAATTTCATGTAGATATTGAAATGGAAGGGAGAGAGAATAGACTCCTCCAGCACCTCACAAATGAGGGGCCTAGGGGACAATCTCTCCCTGCCAACCAACACCGACTAGAATCAGCCCCAGAGAAAGGAAGAGAACCACCATTAACTGCAATAAGTTACAGGGGACTGAAATCTACAGACAAAAGTTAGCCTTCAGGCATCTCTAAACAGCCCAAGCAAGCAAACATTCTGTGCAAACAAATTAAGAGACAGAATTAATATAGAACTCAAAATTGACAAGCAGTACTTAAAAGAAATAAAGGAGCTCTCAAAAGAGTAATTAAATGTTACCTACCAATTTTACCTTACTAATTCTAGTGCTTCCAGGGTGTTTTTGGCTTTGGGCTGGAATTCATAGGCCCAATCACATGAAATCTGGTTTTTCTGGTAGGCTCCTACTTCCAGAACCTCCAACCAAGACTTAGTGAGAACAAAGGAATTCTTAAGTTCTTCCTCCTCCAGCCCCCACATCTCATTCTTCTGCCTCTCATTGGAGAGGACAGAGGCTGTGTTCTGAGAACACTTAACACTAGCTTGCAGGCCATTCAAAATCAAAAGTTCTCTTAATCCATGATAGATGAACAGAACAATCCAAATGGAGCCAGGGGAAAACAGAGTGCTGGATCCATCATCATGTATAGAAGGTTGTTGACTCATACCACTCTGGGTAGAAAGTGGGAATGGTCTTTTTCTGCTATAGTAGCTCCAGGCTGCCATAGATAACAACTCAGAGGATTAGGTGTTTGATAGATTCAGGACTGTGAATCAAGCAGATCCTAAAGAAACTACCAAGAAGGTAATTTCCACACTCAAGTCAATCATATATATAGGAATGCATAAAATATAAATAAACAAATCACCAAAGGATATGTACATGAGACTAGGTTCCTTTAAAATTGTTTGTGTTTCCTAGTAGAAGAATTTAGAGTGCAGCATGACATTAAATCATTCTATCATTCACCTGATGGTTCAGACTGTATTCTGAATAAGATCCAACTAATAGAACATTGTCCTGGAGGGCAGGGTAGAGTTAAAATGCATAGAAAAGTAGTTTTCCTTGACATTATGTATAGCTAAATGTGAGATCTCCATATCTATGTTTCTATAAGTCTAGCAATCACTTAAGGCATCTTTAGTACTCTAGGAGATATAAATATCTGAAGCCTCTCTATGTTCAACACTCTGTAGAATATGTGAACAAGGATTGTGACATCACTAGGATAGAATTTAGCATCATTTGTTAGGCACTAAGTGTTTAATGTTAAAAATGTTTAATATTTAGGGTCCCATGTGTTTACTCTGTAAAACAATTTCAAACTTACAAACACATTTAGCAAATCCAGCAGCCAGGTTTGCATAGCATTATAAGAAAATATTATTTCAGAATGTTTAAAAGATCTACGATTTTTTAAAAAGATATTGACATGAGTTAGCAAGAAAACACACACACTTGAAACTAAAAGGTTCCAAAATTGAATAGGTGTCATGTTTCACCCACTAAAATCAATGAAATTTGGCCCCAATTATATACATGCCGTGCCCATACACTTTGTATCACATCATCTATGCTCAGCAATTTTCCTTCTCCCAGAATTATGAATAAAGGCAGCATCCAGCCACCTGCCCAAAATTGTTCTTCTCTACCCTAATTTATTTAAAAATGGCAAAGTGATGATCTCATCTAAGAATCTTCTTTAAAATGCCAGAAAGTGATTTACTATGCAAAATAATATCTGTCTAGATAAGAACATACATAAGATTTATTGCTCTTCCATGCTCAGATGGAAGCCTGCATGGGATGCAGATATCAAAAGCAAAACTGAGATATCAAAAATGAGTCCCCCATTAGGGGGAGATGGGCAGGGATAAATTTAATAAATAAATAAATAAAATAAAAAACTCTACATGCTGTCAGAAGAAAAATGTATTTCATTTTCATATGGGCAATGTGTTACATATATGAAAATCAGCAAAACAGTGTCTGTCACTCTCAACTACAGCTTACTGACCACTCATTCAGCAACCATTCAAAGTTATGGTGCTGAAAAAGGAGACATACGACTGGCCCTCAAAGTTACAGTCCTTGCCGTGTCCCCATAGTCACATGATTGTGATTCAGGCCCGTGCACATTTAGACAGGTTGCAGCATCCCATGGTCACATGATCGCCATTTGCGACCTTCACAGCTGGCTTTTGACAAGCGAGGTCAGTGGGGAAGCTGGCAGGAAGTTGCAAGTAGCTTTCACGTGACATGCTTGAATGACCCATGGTGATTCGTTTAATGACCATAGTTGGAAATGACAAACTGACATAAGTCAGGCATGGTCATGTAATGTTTCACTTTACGACTGCTAAGTGAGGACTACCTGTAGTTTCCTGTATAGTAATGCTGAAATGAATACATGTCCCATTCTAATTCAAGTGTGAATGTAAAATACAAAACTTTTTTTGCACATATTATTTACACAATATTTTCTGAACTATAGTTAATTCTATAGAAACATGATTCCATTTATGACACCCAATTTTTAAAGAAAATTGAGGATATTACAGAGTCTTATGTACACAACAGCATAACCTTGAAATAGGACATTAGTGAATAAGTAATCAAAGATCACAGCAGCCAGTTTTACAGGTTTCCATAATTAAAACACAGTTTAACCATACATAGCAGAGAGAGGGGGAAGTTGGATTCTTTTCATTCTCAAATTGATGCCATTTTTATTTTTTGAAATTAGTATTATGAAATAGGATCTCTAAAAAAAAAGTTAACAATTTTATTCTTCACAGTTTAACTGAATTTTATGTGACTAATTTGCTTCATAACTATGTGAAGAAATTAGGCTTTGCTACAGACTTTTTAAAAAGAAGATATAAAAAAAATATCTTAGAAATTTAGCACAGATCTGTTTTACCTTAATGCATGAATGCAATAGATCATTCGAGGTATGTTTTTCCTATCATAAACATCTGTGGTCTCTGGGTAGAAAATCTAAGGATGAAAAGGCAAATTATCAAGCTTTGTTTCAGTTAACAAATATGCAATATTAGTCAGATTTTATCTATTAAGGTGCTGAAACAGAGGATCAATGGTATACTTTGACATGGAGAACAAATTCTTGCTCAGTGGGGGATTGGTTTTCCAAAAATGTACAATGTGACACTTTTCCAAATACACTACTGCTCAGAAATAAAATCCACTGAGATGAAACAGGATTAATCCCCAGGTAAGCACTGTAGTCTGAATTTACTAGGATCCAGTTTATTGTATTTGGATTTTATGTTATGTGTCATATAATCTCCTATTGTATTACATTATATTGTATTGTGTTAAATATACTTGTATTTAATTATGTAAAATATATGTTCTAAGGATAGCCACCTCAAATAAGGTAATGATAAATTTGAGTGACATAATATCTTGCCTCTATTAATTTCATAAACCATTGCACTTATGGAAGTATCACAAGATTCCAGAGACAAATATCTCAGTAATAGGTTCTGATCAACTACATATTTGCGGGCCTAGATAAGTAGGTTCCTCATAACTCTTTAAATCAAAATGGCATCCTCAGCTCTTTCCAAAAACCTGCAAGATATGGAATGTTAGCAAGTCAAATCAACATACATTGATATTGGCTGAGTTCACACATTAAAGTTTAGCACAATTCTTTTTTGTTTAGCAAGATGTGTACACTGGGCCACTGGTTTAGTATTATATATAAATTTAACCACTGTCACATATTCAACAGAACATGATTAAATTTAATATACAGTATGTGTTTTAACGATGTTTCATTGTGTTTGACTAGTTCTGAAACAAAAATTCTTTCCTAGAACTTGCCTTGAAGTAATGACTATGTTTAATGAAAAAATAATTCATGCATACAAAAGTACAGTTATATCATGGCTCAAAATATCATTTTGTCTTTGTTCTAATATTTAGAAATGTAAAATTTGCATCTATATTAAACAACATATCCTAGCCAAGTTTAAATAGCCAGCTTAGGTATCTCATATAAAAATGGATGACAAGCAACAGTTAATCAGAGAATTAATCATAGGAGTCAGACTTGGATAAGAGTTTGTTCTGAGTACAGCTCTAATTCCAAGTAGAATTTTAAGTCATATAAAATGAATAGTAATCGCCTGGGACATAGTAGGCATTTTCTCTTTTCAAAGAATCACCGCTCTATAGTACAACGTCTGCTTTTGCAACTAGGCGCAAGAGATTAACATCTCTAGTTAAATTTTTACAGGTTATAACAATACTGGACAAAATAGACAGTGATTTTATTCCATATTCCTCAGCTTCATGCATACTCCTCTGTATCAAAAGAATTGTACTAAGGCATATTACTGGGGTCTGGTAGGATCAGCTCTATCATTACATAATGAGCGTAATGGCACATGCAGTAACTATGCTTGCTGGGGTGGCTGTTGGGTCATGCTACTGACCCAACAGAACTGATGTAAGGGAGTCTGCTGATACCAGTTGCCTTGGCAAAACAGGACAGGACAACTATTTTAACTTTTTCACTCAGTCCTTTCTTCCTGTATGTTGGTGATTCAGTTAGTCCTGTTCACATTAGGGGAAGGCTATAGCTAACTGGTATGGTAATATTTCATATGCAAAAGATCCCTAGTTCAATCCTTAGCATGTACATATACAGCTGTAGAAGACTGCTGTTAAAACTCTGCAGAGCTATTCCTGTTAGTCTAGATCAGATGAATCAATGGTCTTATTTAATACAAAGGCAGATTTGCATCAGTTATCCTATTTTAAATAACTTCCTTATTTTAACAAGTACTTTCAGAGGAGGAGTGGATGGTTTGGAGATGTTTAAACAGACTGTGCACTGGTTTGGCTAGAACTAAAGACCATATGGAAAAATGGGGGTTTCTCCCTGAGGACAA